TGGCATCCACTTCCTAAACAACATGCCTCCAGACACTCTATGAACTTTGATAAATTTAGATAGTTATAGAAAAGCTTCAGGCCTTTTGTTCATAGGGTTGCTATGAGTCGTGCTCAACTCGAAGAAAATCAACAACAACATATATGTGTATATATTTACATATACATATTTATTTTATAGGGAGCTATGGTGGTCTAGAGGTGAAGAACTGTGCTCTCAACTCAAAGGCAGGTGGTTGAAATCCAGCTGCTACTTCATAGGTGAAAGATGGCCAGTCTCCTCCCTTGGCATTTACAATCTCCAAAAACCCACTAGAGGGTCAGCTATGAGTCAATTTTAACTCAATGGCAATAAGTTATGACTCAGAGCCACGTTATGAAAATGTATTTGAACCCTGTCCTGTCTTGTCCCATCCTCATAATTTCTGACACTCTCAAGCCCATTGCAGCAATCACTATGTCAATCCACTTGGTTAAGGGTCTTCTCTTTGGTAGACCCTCCACCTTTCCAAGCATGATGTTCCTCTCTGCGATTAGCCTCTTCTAGTGAAATGGAAACCATGAACATCGACATTCTAGGCATTAGTGAGATAAAATGGACTGTCTTTGGCCACTTTGAATCAGACAATCACATTTTCATTCCAGGAATGAAAAACAGAAGAAGAATGATGTTGCATTTATTGTTTAAAAGACAATTTCAAGTTCTATCCTGAAGTGCATGTTGTAATATAGGATTTGTTCATATGCAAACAAAGAAGACCTGTTAATGTAACTATCATTCAAATATATGCACCGAGTGCAAAAGCCAAAGAGGAGGAAATTGAAATTTTTAATCAAATTTTGCAGTCTGAAATTGACCAGACATGCAATCCAGATGCATTCATGACAACTGGTAATTGGAATGCAAAAGTTGGCAACAATGAAGAAGCAAAGTAGTTGGGAAAAAAACAGATTTGGAAACAGAAATGAAGCTAAAAACAGAATGATGAAATATTTTACATTCAACGATTTACTCATCAGATTGAATTGTTATGT